CAAAGCAGCCCATTAACTTTCACCTTCAATTTAGCATCTCAGTCAGGAGCCTCTGCAGGAGAGAGACCTTTCATTGAAAACATGTATGAATCTGCATATCTGGAGCAGATACAGAATTTCTTGAGGAAATGGGTGTAAACAAAGTTTTTTGGACAGGGTGAGAAAAGATTAGCACAAGGGAACGTGCATACACTGTTCAGTGTTGCATCTTTGTCTCCTGTGCTCTATCACAGGGATGCTACCCCTGTGGAAATGTGTGTGTGGGAACAGGACACAGTAAATCTGCAATCTAAAGTTAGGGAAAAGGAGTGCAGGCAGCAAAGTTTGCACAGAGCAATTCTGTGGTGTGATAACAGCTTTTGTGTGAATAGCAGGAAGCTTTTGTTTCTGTACAGGGCCATCTTGAAACCGCTCAGCTTGATGTATAGGATGGAATTAGAATTGCAGATATACCTCTATCTATAAGAAGAAAGGCTTTATTGGTGTCTGTAGGATATGAAGCAGCATCCTCAAACACTCAGACAATCCATCTTTGGAGGATGTTAAAAAATTTCCATATTTATTGGTGGTATATTGATTAACCATGGTTTTGTTAGCAGTAACATGCAAGCAGGCAAATTGGGTTCTCTGAAGCAAATACCAGGGATTTGCTCTAGCTTGTTTTACAGGAGAGGGGAGTGGTTGCCTATATAAGATTTAGATGGTCCATGTGTAGAAGCAGGCTATTCAGATTTTTTTTTCCAGAAGACCATATTTTGTAATTGCAAGGGGGAAGGGGGCTATAAAATCAGTAACTGTTTCCTTTAGGTTTCAGAATGAAATAGTCTTTAAGAAACAAAAAGAAAACACAAGGTAGATGTCTCCAATAGGATGAAGATTATTCAAGGTTATTACAGACTTTTTAGGAAATGAAGTATAGAAATTCAGGTTGAGGCATACGTCATTCGAGAAGTAATCTTAAGTAGTAGTTGGGGTCCCATCTGTGTTGCACAGGATGTTTCAAAAGGTGTATGAAAGAGGTGACATAAACTGTATTTTTTAATTTATGAACCTAGTGAGATGTAGTCCCATCTATGTTACAGTGAATGGTTTTGTTTTTGGAGCAGGTTAATAATCTTGCTTTCATTCCTTTGAGCTTTATTCGTTCTGGCTTCTTTGTAGGAACTTCTGAAGGAGGTACACAGTCTTGTACCACCCTCCAGTGGTTTATACAGCACAGTGCAAGTGTAATGTTTCAGGAAGCTTCTTCAGAAAAAACAAGGGAATGGGCGAAGAGACCAGTATGTACACAGAATCAAACATGCCAAAAAGCATATAATCCCCAAAGAACTCTTCTGTTAAACTTTTCATTATTAACCCTACTTTTGGTCATGTTACTAGCTGGTATCTCCTTAAAGGAGAGAAAGAAATGAATATTGTTTGGAGACACGCAATAAAAGCATATAGGAGAATTCAGCCCTGTTGTCACTGGAATACACATTCTGACTTTACTGGAAGACAGAATTAGATTTATTAATGCATATCTCCTGTAAACTATTTCCTTCCCAACATACCAAGTTTAATTTTTAATTTTAAAAGAAGCTTCACAAGCATTTCAAATAGTCCATTTTGCCAGGTTTTTCTGGGAGTCAACTGTAGGGATAGAAACCCAGATCTCTCTTCTCGTAGCAAAACTCAGGGTTCAGCCAATAGGCTGAAGTACTGTGGGTCTTTTCATTGGCCCAGTTTAGGTTCTGTCCTTTGCTGCAAACTAGCACAGCTTCAATTGGACACTGAAGCTAGTTACCTCCCTAGGTGGAGGGACATTTCGAGCTTTCTTCTTGGGATAAACATTGTGCTGTGGATTTGTTTGATAGCTTGTATAAAAGATCTCTAGGGTTGTTTACAATGTTATGAAGTATTCTAGCACTCCTGTCCTTTGCATGGATAAGATACTCATGTGGTTGCTTGCATTTGCAGGATATTAAAAGTTGTCTGCTTCTGTGATGACCTTGAGCCTGTTCATAAAGTGGCCAGTATTAATGAATCTGTGAGTGGTCACAATAGTATGTACCACAGTGAGGGGTGCTTCAGAGTAGGCTGGACATAAACTATGGTGTTTGTTTATCAATTTACTTACTAATTTACAAGTCATAAAAGTCTCTTCCTTCTGTTACTGTTTTCCATTTCTTTCCGTCCTTTAAGTGTTTAGAGTATCCTAGAGGTATTAATATACATGTTTCCAAGGAAAGTTGTATCTGGGCACCTACTTTTGTGCTATTTTTCTGCTCTTGGTGGCATCTGACGCTCTACCCATGGCTTGTCAGTGTCATCACCTTGACAGTGGTATGTTTTTCCAGATCACTGATAGCGATAAGTAAAAAGTCTGATGTAACTAACTTATTTGTGTCTTTCTTACAATTATTTATTGAATGTAGAAAGCCATGGGAATTGTAGAAGTTGCAAAATACAGCAGCAGTGAATTTACCAGTGGTTAAGGAGGCATTAATATGCTGTGTGACATGGCAGCAACTGCCAAACTCACTCATCCAATTTGAGGCTGTACTGAGCCCTGGACTACACAGCACAAGTAATAGATCTTCTACTGCACGATGTATTGTTCGCTCATATCCTTTGCCATGGGCTTTCAAGCGGTTTTTACTTCATATAATTGTACTGTTGTTATCCAAGCAAATCTGTGCTAACAGTAACAGTTACATTTTGGATTTAAGCCTACTACAAGGATATAGTGACTTGCACTTTTCTGCTCCAGGGCAAATTAAATTGCTGCCTTCTCTACTAACAGATCACTCTTTTAGTACAGAGTGACAGCAGTCACACAGTACTGTCTATACAGCCAAGCTAAAATGTGCAATTAGGACAAGAAAATTACTCCAGAAATTGCTAACTTGTTTTCAGCTAGTGCACGATACTAGCTTTCGGAAGTCAGACCAGATTAAAGTATCCTCACCGGGACAGGAGTGCAAAGACAATTAAAGTTCCCCTTCTGAGCTCAGATGATGACGGTAGTAGAGAGAACTGGCCCTCCAGTTAGGGCTAGGCCAAAGAAAGCTCGGGCTTTGTAAGCACCGAGCACTACTTTGTGAGATACTAAGAACTGTAAAATGCTCCCTACCTCTCTGATTCTCCCTGCATCAGTGTGAGCAGGAATCTTTCCTGCAGTCTTCTTTTCAATTTCCTTTATCTCTATTTGGGTATAAGATGTATTCTGGACAGTATTCCAGTTCCATAACCACCTCGTCCCATTTCTGAGCTTTTACTACAGTTGTATTCAACGGAACTCTGACTAGACAGTAAGTACTGGTCAGATGGTAAGAGCGGCCGTACTGGTTCAGATTAAGGTCCCATCTCGATCAGAATAAAGTTATCATCTCCAGCACTGGCCATACAGAAAAAGAACAAAAAGGCAAATGTATGTAATGTGTTTCAGCTATTTTCTGTCCATAGGATCTCCTGAGCTTCATGAAACCTGCCTGTTCAGTAACCATCACATGATGTTTCTTTGCTGATGGCATCTTTTTGTATGTAAAACTCTTAAATATTGGGCTGTATCTGAGAGATGTACGAGTTTTAAATTTACTATTAGCTATCAATTTACTCTTGATAATTTTTTTTCTTGCAGCTTTATGTCATCTCTTTGGCTGTTATGCATACTAGCAGATCAACAGGCAGTATTAATTTGATTTCTACCAAGCATAATAAATGTGTAGCTGCATTTCTACTGAATTAGCCAAGGTACAATACAGCAGTAGTTATTTTATCGTTAACAGCCACGGGGTAAGATACTTAATAACCACCAATTCTACCAGAGTAATGCTACTTATCAAAAACAAACAAACAGAAAACCCAAACAAGAAAAACAAACCTAAATGAATACCGTCAGAGTAAATTTATACTTCAGGGCTCTGAACTGGCCAGAATTTTTGATCCAGCCTGAGGGGCCTAGAAACTAGTAAGAACCACAGTCTGAGTGTACTGAAGATTTATATAAACAGAGTAGCAGTTTAGCTCTTGCGTTGGTCAGTGCTACTGCCTGGATTTTGTAGCACAGTTCAGTCTTTCATTAACATGGTTGTGAGAGAGATGGCACTGTTGTATTGTGTTTGGTACTTGTTTCATTCAGGAGATGCTAACTATGGTTTCCAAGATTATTCATCAGAATTGAGGAGGCATTTTGCTTTCAAATGTCATATCCTTTCATCTGTTTTCAAAGGCAAGCATTTTAGTAGAGATGGGTTTTATTTTAAGGAGTCCTGAAAAACGAATGTATTCATAGGCAAGATTAAAAAATCACCTGAAGAATTGCTTTGTTCAAATGCAGAGCGTGACCTCTTTCATCTTAAAATAGCCATAACTTAAGCCAGCATTCAGTGCCATAATTTACAAACATATGGCTAGAAGATACCTCTTAGATTACTGAGACTGTTTAACTGCTATCATGTACAAACATTTCCAAGTAATCAGCTTTTCCAGTTTATTGATTTTAATCCTCAATGCAAGTGCACTTCTTATACTCTTATTTTATGGAACGGCTGCTCCCAAACTACATTCCTTTAATTTTAAGCAACTATGTGAGAATAGTTTAGTATTGCAAGACAATGTTTGGGTTTTTAGCTCTCTCATCACCAAAATTGTGCATTAGGTTAAGTTAAAATAAATATTCAGCTTTTTGCTTGTCTATTAACATGTTATGAGTATACTGCAAAGAAATAATCGTAGATGCTATTCAGAAGCCGACAGAAATAGAACAGAACTCTTCTTCCTAGTTCTACATTCAGTGAATGTATAATGAGATCAGTGTATGAAAATGAAATCATTATGAATGTTACACGTGCACATACTGCTATTCAGGATATTATTAAAACAAAAGGATTGGTTAATTTTACTACTGCTTGCTTTTTTGGTGAAGAGACAGAATGGCCTAATCCGTTTCTTGTGAAGTTTTACAAGACTGGTTTCCCTTTCTTTTTCATTCTTTTTTTTTTTTATTTTTATTGCAGTGGGAGAAACTACAGATGACAACAAGCGAGAGGAGGAAAATAGTTTGTTCGGTCACATTTCACGTAATTGCTATTACCTGCGTTGTTTGGTCATTGTATGTTTTAATTGATAGAACTGCTGAGGAAATTAAACAAGGCAATGACAATGGTAAGTATCTGTTATCTTCTTCAAGCTTGTTGATAATGCAATAGCTAGATAGATTTGAAATGCAGCTACAAAACCGGTCACTTTCTATTTTCAAATAATAGCTCACTAATAAAATGGTTAAATCAAACGCTTTAATGCAGAAGTAATGAACACCTCGGTGTTGCAAGCTTGTAGTACATCACTGCAGAGGGATCTCAGCTGTAACCGTTACAACAGCTTAACTAGCCTACTGATTCTTCTTAGCTTAAGCTCCTGTTACCTGGGTATTTCTAAAGGTCTGACTAAAAGATGCGTGAAAACCAAACAGCTCAGTGCAAGTTCAGTTTGCAAAACAGCAGTTTGTTTATGTGACTTACTCGAACCTCTGTATCCTACGAAATAGGACAGAGCCATTTCATCAACAAGCTTCCTAATATGGAATTCCAAGAGATGGAGTTCCAGCTGTGTTAGTCCTTAGTGTGGGAATTAAATAGTACAGAAAGTCCTTCCTGCATCCTTTTCAAACAGAATTTCACTGTGAATGCAATTATTCCAGTTGGATTTCCCAAGAAAACTGAGAAATGGTGAAAGAGAGTGCGAGGAGGAAGATAAGTTCTTGGAAAAGCTTTAGAAACAATTACTTCTTCATTACCAGTAATAAAACACTCCCTCTGGATGTCATGAGGAGGATTTCAGCCTCATTATGCCTACTGGGTACTAGACCTTTGTTAACATAGGGCTAATTTATTATTCAGCTAGTACATTTATTTTATAGCAGAGTAAGTCTATTAACTAAGCAAAAACAGTTTAAAAAAAAAAAAAAAGGATGTTTCTTTTAGTTGCCTTAGCTCCCAGATACTGCAAACCCTTCATCTATTGAAATTCAGAACACTGGTTTATTGTTCCAAAATATTCAGTTAAAAGGATAAAAATTGAACATTCCAGGGGAAAAAAGGATTAGACTTTTCTTAATTTCTTGGAAGCATTTACTTTGGGGGCCTAGCAAAGTAATGGTCTAACCTGGTGTAATGTGCTAGCCTGTATTTTTCTTTCTCTAGTTAGCAGATTAGACATGCCAGATAAGGCCAGTCAGAAAAATGTAGCCTTTCACCCAAGCAGCAGCAACGTATTCCTTGTTCCTTGTGAAGACATACATTCCCTGTCATCTGATCTTGCCTTTCAGGGATGCCTCTCTCATCCAGTGCTAGTTTTGCTAGTGCCAGTCGAACTCTCTCTGTTCTGTCTTTGGTATTCACTTTGTAGTCCTTAGTCTAAACTTTGGTCAGACGGCAGTTGTGTTTCTCATTTATTGTTTACAAAACCTGAGAAGCTAACATAATGATAAATGGATTTGGAAAGAAAAAAAAAATCCACTGGCTATATATGTTACACATAAAAATGTATGTTTAGCATAAACAGGTTTCTTTTTTGCACTATACTTTTTACTTAACTGTGTGTGTAAAGTATACTGCAAACTGAGCTACTGTTTTCCATTTCAAATCCACATATGATTTGAGTATACTCAGTCTTAAATACTTCTGAATACTAATAATGATGCGCATCATGGTAAAGATGAGGGAAAAAAGCAGTTTTTTCTTTTTCATCTGAATTGACTTTAAAAATTAGGCAGTAGAGAGACAAACGTCTCTGCCTTTGTGCTATGCTCTGAAGTTAACATGGAAAAGAAGACAGGCAGAGCTTTGGCACCTCACTAGTTGTTATTATTTAAATAGTTGATGATACTCCTGATCCCTGGCCTTTCTTGCCTATGAGAGGAAAATATGTAACAAGAAGCCTCAGTAAGTCATTGCAGTTGAATATATAATACAAAGTCTTGTTTTGCATTCTTTCTAAATGGGTAATCCTGTTTTTCATCATGGAAAATTTGCCTTGAGGACAAGATTAGGAATGGCTTTGAAGGTCTACTTATGCGTAAAACATAAATCACACCATTCATTTAAAAAGGGGAAAGGTATGGGCTGTGGATAAGCTCAATTTATACAACAAAACAGCTAGCATACATGAATGTTTATTGTTATACAGAATGTGTAAGAATCATCTTAGTTGCTCATGCTACACTCAAAAGCATTCACACTGTGTACAGCATTGTTTCCCAAATTCAGTGAATGCTTCTCCATCTGTCTTAAAAATAGACATAAAAATTACTCAGAGCTGCTTACAACATGCTAAAAATAAGTAAGTGTTCTTGTGGGAATCGCTTTCACCTCAAAACTTGCTTATTAGGATAAAAAGTACTTTTACAGAAGCAAATGTGTGTGTTCTGGGGAAGAGGACGGCGTACATATAGTTTGCTTTTCTCTCTTTTTGCGCTTTCATTATTTCTGTTAGGAACCAAGACAGTGAAAAACTGGAAAAAAAAAAAAAGTAAGCATATTTGGAGAAGGAGAAAAACTAAGTAATATTACTGGCTGTTACTACTGCATGACGTTAAAAAGCAGTATTTCTTAAAATTACTTAGAGGCTTCCCCCTCCCCCCATGGAAGTATTTGCCCCAAATAAATAAACATGTTAAACCTCTTGATTGGTAAACCTGACCAATAAACCTAGTCAGATTGTTCAAAAAAAACCTGACATCTTAAACATTGGTACTGAGGGCTGCCGCTTGTGTATAGCGTTTAGTCTTTAACTGTGATAAGGCAACGTGTAAGGGAAGGATACTAGTTGTTGCTTAATGGTTGAAAAAAAAGCAGCTGCAGTGATATGAATTAACTTAGGATTAGACTGATGTCCGTAATACAACAGTAATTTATTCTGTTAAAGTTGTAATACTACTTTTAGGCCAAAGCAAATCATCTTAACATTATTCATATTATAACCAAGTAAGTTCAGATGATCTCTTCTGTAGTGTTTTTTTTTGGTGTCGGCATCCATAGATTTTTTTCTGTACATGCACGATTGATGCAAAGAGAAAATTAAGACCTGCTATACCCCAAACTGTAAAGTTAGTTACTCTTTTACTACATAGGCTACAAGGTCTGCTTTTTGATGTGGGTGGGCACAAGTACTGCGCTTCTGTCATGGCCTTGAGTTTCTTATTTAACCAAGCTGTGGTGAAATCAGTTGATACTTGGGGTCAGATGTAGTTTCTTTCCCGGCCTTCTGCCTATAAGATAGGCAACACATGCTGTTTTCTACTTTCTAAATTGAGGCCACAGTTGCCCCGATGCCGTGTGTATATCTGGGAATTCCTAGCAAGTGGCTTTGTTTGAAAAAGTTTTAGTGATATTCAGTACTTTATATGCATTATATAACAATGGTAATAATGAATATAATCTTTTTTATTTCAAAGGTGTCCTTGAATGGCCATTTTGGACAAAACTTGTTGTGGTGGCCATTGGATTCACAGGGGGCCTCGTCTTCATGTACGTACAGTGTAAGGTTTATGTTCAACTGTGGCGCAGGTTGAAAGCCTACAATAGAGTGATCTTTGTTCAGAACTGTCCAGACACTGCCAAAAAAATGGAGGAGAAAAACTCTTCAGGCACTCAGAACTCTGATGTCAAGGATGCGGTGGTCGTGCCAATAGCACAGACAGGTACAAACTCTCAGCTGGCAGCTGAAGAAATGACATCTGAGGTCATGCCAGTTTGACAGAGACAGCATTGTTTCTTCCTTGCAGAATAAGGTGTAGTGTTTTCTACACTACAAATGCTGAAAGAGAGTAGAAATGACTGTGCATTTTTTCAGTTAAAAAAAAAAAACACACACAAACCAGAACCCTGACAAGGAAAATGGATCCAGCAAAGCAACTTGTTACCGTATGGAATGTGACCATTTGTGAAGTAGTTTCTTGACTAGTCAGCCAAGTGTAGTGAAAGTGCAAGTGTAGAAAGTGCAATAGAGAACAAATTTAACAGACAATGCCAAACCAACGCGACAAGATGACCTTTTTTTTTTTTTTTTGGAAAAATTGGATAGCTGGGAAAGTAGAAACAGACCTGCTCTAATCATTTTGTTTACAGAAAGCAAAAACCTTTCAGCCATTTGTTACTACTAAGGGTCATATTTGCTCATTATCTTCTTAAAGATACACTTCAAAATAATACCCGTCAAGTTATACATGTTAACTGAATAAAAGTATACAGAGCTGTATCACAGCAAACACTCTCTAAGCCTAAGGTAACACCAGTTCATGCTACTACATTGGAGCCTGAGTATTTTGGCAGCTGCACCAACTTAAGGATATTTGAAACATTTGAAGGGTAGCATTGTTTTTGAATATGTCTGACTTTTTGAAAGTAAGGCATTCCACACAGTATAAACTCATGTCCCCATAAACTACAGCTATTTTTTTAAACTACAGCTGTTCGCAAAATAAGAAAGGGAGGGAGAGAATTTGTAGATATCCATCTGGAAGAGCAGCTCAGCTGTTTATTTTACTTTGTAAGAGTGAATTAGAATTTACTTTAAAAAATGGGATATACAAAGTTTTAAAGCAAAACTATAAGATAAAAATTCAGTTTACTGCAGAATCACATAAAATTAAAATGCATACTATTAAAAGTCTGGAAAAGGATGACAAATAGCAGCGTTGTTTTATTTATTTATTAAGATTCATGAGTAAGAAGGGTAGGCATAAGAGAACATACCTAGATATCCTAAGAGTATTTTAGTTTTCATCTCCCTGTTCTGAACTGACTGAAAAGTAATCAGGTTTCTCTCTGTATATGGTAAGCTTGAGGTGTTAGAGATGGAGCAGTTCAGCTGTTACTTTTGTGTTTTAAACATCCTCATATAAAAATGAGGTGTGAATAGCATTAAAAGGTGCAATAGATACATGAATGTAGATACAAAGCTCTGTCCAACAGGGTGAATTATATAAAGCCCCAATTTTGTCATTTGTTTTTCATACCTGTGATGTTGACTATCAGGACAGGACAGCCAGTATTGACTTGTTGTTACATGCAGGCTTAGACAAGTCTGGGGCCTGAATGTAACAAAAAAAAAAAAGCTATAAGTTCCTTTTTGATCTTGTATTTAGACAAGGGAGGAAAAGCGAACAAACAAATAAAGAAGCAGAGAAAAGAGGATGAGAGATCACTGGTTCATTCGCAGAGGGAAACTGCCATAATTAGCAGAGAACTTGACAGTCTTTCACAGAAGTCTTGCAGTTTCTTATGGTAAATTTCCTCATTACGCACTCAAATTTCTACAATAACAGAATTGCCCCATTCTTGCAGTTATCAAGGGTGCTGGGCCTCATATGTATTGAAATTTATATATTAAGCAGTCCTTTGTGAATATGTTTACACTGGCTTTACAGCTCAGAGCATACCCAAAGTAGCAGTTGTATTTGTTACCAGATCTTTATGTTCCTTTGTTTTAGAATTGATAACGTTATTTGGCTGTGACAAATGACTGTCATTTGGCCTGACAGAAAACAAAGTATTGGCACTTGAATAGGCCCTAAATGCATATTAGTATTTGTCCTAAGTTGCTCCAGTTGGGTGGGATTAATGTTCAAGTCTTTTCACATAATGACATTTGCTTTTCATATAAAATAACTTTCCAATTATGCAATTGCAAAATTGGAATTATAACAGCTTCTCATTTGTGATCAATTATAAGAGTAACCAAATCATTGCTGGGTTTGTAATTGTGGGAGAAGCTTCAGAAGGTCTTCAGAAAGCCATGGCAGTACCAAGGGAATGCCTAGTAACTGCAGGTACTTAAGATATTCTACAAAAGCATGGTTTTCTAAAAGTGCAAGTCTATTTGCAAAAAACTAAATCTCAAGATATCCAATCTTAGCTACTTAAAATTACTAGACACGTTTAAATGTTTGTAGCTGTTTACAATAAACCAGGTGATTAACAGGAAAATTGACTGATTAGGAATAATATCATGGAAAATAAGATGTTTCTGAAACAGCAGAAAGTTTCTTACTGGCAATTCCTTTATGTTAGTTTAAACAAAATTATTCCCTTCTTTAGTCTGCTTGTTCCTTGACTTGCTGTAGCATCATGATCCCACAGAAAGTACTTTATCCCCTATTTCGACACTTTACTGAAGACTCACTCACACTGTTGTTTTTCTTGAACAAGTATAAATTTAAAATCAAATAAAAAAATACTTGAGGCTTCTGAAAGCAAATCTAGGGCATCCAACAAGATTATTGCACATTTTTTAAAATATACCACAGCGTCAGCAACAGAACACACAACTTGCAAAACCATTTTATACTAACAAACAACTTCAAAACACTATTTTGGCGCTCCTCACAACTACTCATGCAATTAAGCTTACAGTTAAAAATAAGAATGGAGAAAAACTTCAGTTGAAATTCCTCCTCTCCCTTTGAAATATTTATTTGTGGGAATAAGAAGCAAAAATCAGGCATTATCTGCTGAAGTCAGCAGCAATATATGTTACGGAAGGCTTGAAGCAGTCTTTAACCTCTTAAAGCATTACCCCATGCATCCCTCTCTCTTCCTAGGTGCAGTGGATATTCTAGAGCTTTTAGGGATTTCATGCTAGATTGGGATTTGTTTCTTTAGCAGGGTGGGACCTCTTCTGGAGGACAAGTTGCTATTCTTATCAACGTGCCTTGGATAGAGGTCTGCAGGAGTAAGGAAGGTGCATGAATATAGACACTAGACAGCTGCTCATCAACCATGCTTTTTCTTTCCTACACAAAGCGCAACATTCTGTATTAATTTAATGACTACAGGATTCTGTGCTGCAAAAGCAGTGTACTTAAAAGTTTTAAGATACCTTCTAAGACTTTTTAATGAAGCACAAACTGATATAGCTAGTAAAGATCAGTATAGACCTGCCTGTGTAGCCACAGGCTATCTCAGGCAAATACAACGAAAGTGGAATTTAGCTTGACTAAGACCTGCAACAGCCGAATCCTCAGAGCTGCCACTACAGTGAAGAGCTTAATCTGCATTCTTGTTTAAGCAAAACTTTAATGAAGGTAGGTGGAAGTAAACTGGTCTAAGATAAGATCTAGGTTTTTTTTTTTAACAAGATACTTTCAACCTGTGAACATGCATCTTTCTTTCATCTCCTGATTTCTTAAGTTATCAGCATCACAAAGATTATTTGACACTGGCATAAACATACTACTGTAGACTATTATTAGCATTACGAAGATTTTCAACTAGCCCAATGGTGCCATTCACACTGCTGTATCTGAAAGCAGTGTTTATTTTTCCGTCCTGCAGAAAAAACAGTAATCTCCCCATCACCAGAACAAACTGTTTATAATTTCTAATAATGCAATGAAGGTTACTTTATGATGAAGGTATTTTACTGTGTGTAATATTTGGAACTACAAGTTTGTGTTTCTTGTTTAACTCCCTTCTCTTTTGCAAAAGAAAAATTACATGTTTTCGTGGATGAATGTGTACTGAAAGAAGGAAGGGGGAAACAAAAGTAATATATCTGCTTATTTGTTGTGAAAAAAAAATTGTATTTGTATTAAACAAATGACCCAAATTACTGTAGTATGCTACATCTGTCACTTTGTTATACAGAGCATCACATGGTAAACAGCAACTGGCAACGCCACACTATTGTAAGAAAGGTGAACACCATACACGGCTGCATATTTAATACTGATAATCCTGCTGGAATAGAGTGGGAATAGAGTGCCTAGTTTTGGGCACCATACCTCAGCACAACACTCAGTTAAACATGTCACAGTGAAAAACACTTGAAAGAATTATATGGTGGTTTAACTTGCACAACATAAGACTGAGAAGGAGATATATAAGGACAGACAAACTAGATAAAAAAAACTCCCAGAGAAAACCTAGTTGTTACATCCACAGCAAATTGGACAAGTAGTAGTGGGCTTCAACTGTAGAAGCAGTTAAGGAGGAGGAAAACATTTTAAAATATAAGGACAGCAACACCTTGGGGTAAACCCTTATTATGTGATTGTGGAATGTTCAACACTGGAAATCTTTAGAGAGGGCTGGACAAACATTAGACAGTTAAATGATTAAAGCTAATGCAACCTTACCTTGTCAGAATGGATCAGATGTCCCTTTTTATTATATTAGGATTCTATTTGGTGAGATTTTGTCCTTTTCCAAAACCCTAAAGAGGAAATTTTGAACTCTTTCAATTTGAAGTCACGTAAAAGAAAAAAAAAAGTGTCCTAGCTTGATAAATACACAGAGCTCAAACCAAACTATAAAATTAGTTTTCTGAAAAGGGTTTATCTGCCTTCCTCATGCCATGGTCCTTGATTGTGCACTGGCAAGAGACTGGGCTAAGTTTCAAATCCTCAGCTAGCTAATACTAGCTAAAACAAGTCATCATGTGGCTAAGACTGCTATGAGTAAACTCCCAACATATGAAGAAGGGTTCAGACAAATAACATTCCCTACATCTAAGGCAAATAGAACGTCCATTTTGTTAAACCTGACCTAACTAGTTCAGCATTTAAATCAAAGATGGATTCATGAATCCCTACAAGAAATAATACAGAAGAAACAGCATAACCAAAGAAATTCTAGTAATATTGATATATTCACTCAAATTTATGAACATATGCTAAACCAGAACTTAATTTATTTTTAGACTTAAGAGAATTTAGGGTTCACTGTACCTTTTTGCTTTGTGTTCAGGAGTTAGTTATAATCTCTTGATGAAGGTACGATTAGAACACAAACCATGCTTGCTTGTTTTCAGTTTGCTCTCTGTGAATACATAAACAAAGAAACACTCCAGAAAGTATTTATTTACA